CCAAGGGTCAGGGATTTGCGACATATGTTAGGCATCCAACATGCAGAAGCATGAATAAGATGCGCACGGTACTGACTGTTGTGGGGGGAAAGGTCTAAAAATGACTTTGCTTTGGGTACAAGAACTTGGAATAACATGGCACTTTCAGGAGCTTTGCCAAACAGAACCCACTGAACTGCCAGTAAACACAAGAGAAGCTACTCTGGAGTTATCCTAAGCTTCTATACGTCATTTCTTCAAGTTCACACACACTTATGCATGCGCATCAGACATCATTACTATGGATAAACCCAGAAGTAGTGGCAAGGGCAATGGACCGGTTCTGAGCAATAGTTTAAGTGCCCGTCCTGCGGCGCAATCATGACAGCCTAAATTAATTAGAACAAACAAAGACAAAATAGTCACTTCCAGAAAAGCTGTTTTTTTTTTGTTGTTTTTTATTCCACTAAATTACATAATATTGTCTGTTGTTCCTACTTTATCTGTATCTAACATAAAATCACCAGTATTAACAAAGAAAATGTTTCAACATTTAATAATCTATTAAATACTTAACCTAAACCTTTAACTTAGAACATAATCTTGAAGCTCCATAAGACGAGGTACAAATACTGATATGTGAGGTGCATTTGTTGTGTGGATTATAAAGATGACGGAATTAAATGAATACTGCTTGTAAAACTATTTGAAGTTTCCCATCTGGTTCACAAGTTGCATGCGTGAGAAAGAAATTTATAAGGGCATGCAAGCTGTTTAAAAGTTGTACCATGTTTATTATTAATGACTACCCATACTGCCTAACTTTATTCCTGTAATGACACCAGACATTGACACTGTATTCTGATGATTAGTATGTCCATGCGTGTTTTGCATTGAATGATAGTTTTTCATGTTCCTGCAAACAATGAGGCCTATATATACCGGGGCACAATGTTATTCAGACAGAATGTACTGGTGTGTTCTCTAAGCAGCTGTGAGAAAATTCCTGGAATAATCTGAAATCAAAATTGAAGCCTTTCTACTTGCATAAGCGTGGTCCACAAAGTATGCCTTAATGCCAGTTGTTCGTACTGAAAGCAGATTGTTAGCAAAACACACACACAAATATGTTTAAAATGGTGAAGACTATGTGCTTCTGCCATACAGCATTCTGAAGCTGGGGAAAAGCAATTGGAAAATTATACCTCAAGAATCTAATGTATATCTTACAGTTTGAGAGAAAACAAACTGTGATCCATGGTGCAAGTGTCTATTTCTATGTCTTGTTAGGCCTGGATATAGGGTATGAGTTAAAGGGAAACTATAGACTAGAAATACAAGATTGTATTACTAGCACTATAGTGCCCCGCTCGCTTGCGTGATCCCCCCCCCTTCCCACAGCAAAGAACCCTTTTGTCACTTACCTGAGCCTGCGCCGATGTCCCTCATATCCCGCTGGATCAGGCTCTGCCTCTGCTAATGCACATGCTTTTCCGTTTTAGCTGACGCTGGAAGTTCTCATGCTCAGCGTGAGGACGTCCAGTGCCAGTTAGGCAACCAAACGTCACCTAATGACCCAGAAGCACCTCTAGTGGCTGCCTGGTAGACAGCTTTTAGAGGTGGCGTTAACCCTGCAATGTAATAATTGACGTTTCTCAATAACTGCAATAATTACAAATGCAGGGTTAAACTAACAGGGACACTGCACCCAGACAATTTCAATAAGCTGAAGTGGTCTGGGTGCCTAAAGACAATGCAAGATCATTAACAGAGGAAGGACACAGATGCTTGCTATTGGACAGTGATATGTGACTAGGGACATATTTGTACAGAACAATTTAGCCAATCAAATTGTGCCAATTTAGTTAACCTCCCATAAACTCTAATGCATATTAACATATTCATTCTAGCAGGTTTAAAAAAAAAATGTTTTATTTTTATTAAAGATTAGGAACAATTTCACCAAACTCCCAATTACAATCTCCTAATTAGAGTAAAATGTTATACAAAGAATATTATGGCACATGATTATATTTTACACCGGCCATTTGTCATATTTAAGATCTTCCTTCTCTTACAATGGTGCTACCACAAGCCATAAAATATAATTTAATTTTCCCATTTATATAAGCTCCACTTGTTTACAGAGTCTCTTTTCAACTATTGTAGCCCACTTTTCATTGGTCAAGTAATTCTCTCCCAACTTGTCTTTAATCTTTCCTGACTTCTCAACTGACATCTTTTGATGTTTTCTTGACTTTCTGAACTCCTGACCACACTTCCCAAGTTTGCATTTCAGACAGCACCTGTGCTGCTATTTAGGATCAGAACAGATGACACACTCCACTTCAAACTAATTTAAAGCTCACAAAGTAAACCACCTGACTTAGTTCAAGTTAATGGGGACCTAGTTCCAGTAAATGATCATACACTACATAATCCTGCCATAACGTCAATGTAAGACGTTCTTGTCAGGTCTAGTCTCTACCTCATTGAAGTCCCATTTTAAACATTGTACTGGAGAGAGTCCAAAAAGGATGGATGCCCCAGGTAAGTGAGTTAATCTCATAAAAGCATTAGACTGGTGTAGACTAACCGCTGCCAAAAATATGGTACATTGTATTTGGCAGGATAATGCTCTGTATGATCACACTGTAATTAATTCCTCATTACTTTTATATCTCTGCCCGAGATTAGGGACCACCAAATACGCAGAGGTGATCTGTGTATTATTAACCATTTATTATGGTATATATTAATAATAAGGGTACTGCTAGTGACCATTTTTTAAATGAAATTAAGATTTAGAAAAAAAAATTTTAATAAAACAAAGATACATTAAGCAATGTGGTCAAACTATCTCAAGTGAAATAAAACAAAACAGATTAGTTTGCACAGTGGGTAAGGAAAATAAATGAAGCAGTACTTGAGCAAACAGAAATCAATACAGAAACGAATGAGAATGTTGAAGAATTACAACAAACAAGACGTCAGTCAAATACACAGTAACAACAGAGGAAGCTCTCATAATACAGAGCTAAGATGTAAATTATTCAACATAGGCTGTAAACACACACACACACACACACACACACAATCTCTTGATGCAACTTCAAAAAGAACTAAAGGACAGGATGAAGAAGAAAACAGATCATGTAAGCCTGAAAACAAAAGTAAACTATTAAAAACAAGAAGATACATTTGTAAAACTGATGCTAAATGAACCTCACAAGCGGTAATTGTTTCATGTTATCAATCTTTTCTTTATATATGGTGCCAGTCAAATGGCTAGAAAATGCTTAAATAAAAAGTAATTTAACACAAAATAACTACTGTCACACTTCTGGTGCAGACATCTAAAGTGTGTGGGATGCTTTGCAAGTCACTGGAGCACATACAGCTGTGCATACAAACAGTACTAGCATCCACTTCCGGTGGCCATATTTTTAAGCATGTACATGTTTTTGAGTAAAAGTATTTACTGAAGAGACCTTGGTAATATATACAGTCATTCCACATGCATTGATTTATGTAAAATTTTCATTCAAAAATGACATACATACAGGGTTATTCACTAACGTGAGAATCGGCAGTAATTCAAAGTGAGTTTTAAATTTAGGGCAAAGAAAACCAAACTTAAAAAACTGAATTGACTTGGAGATTTTTTTTAAATTTCATTTAATTTCTATTTTGGCTTACATTTTGAAATTCTATTTGATTGCCCAGTAATTCTTACTTTAGTAAATTTTCCCAATAGTGACATATAATATTTTGGAAACTGGACAGTTAAAATTGAAGGCCAAATAGCCGTTTTGGATGCAGAACTTTTTCAAGTTTGAATATTTTGCTCTCAAATTTAAAATTCATATTCACTAGTTGAAGAAGTAAATTTTTAATTGCTTGGTATATAAACACTTCACCTCCCACATAGGGGTTTAAAAGCCAGTTCCTCATTTAAAATAAAGTCCTTGGGACCCCTCTCTTGCTTGTGTGGGAGAAAAGACCCACTCACCTCTCATGATTGAAAGGTGCTCTTGAGAAACCATAACATGTTTATAATAATGAAGTGATATAATCTGTCATCACGCTGAGTCACTTTTTACTTCACCAAGGTCCAATCAAAAGGATTTGGTTATACTGATTTCCAGGCTCAGAGAACACTTTGAGCCAAGGAGCGGGTGGAGTGTGGGGAGGACATTGGGTTGGCTTTAAATATAAAAATATGACAAGTGTAGAATGAATCTAGGGAGGTGGAGAGGGCTTTGAGGGATCACAGGAGGGAGGTAATATAAAAGCCTCCCCTTTCAGTCTGTGTTGTGAGTGCACCTGTAAAGGGAAGCTTGTATATCCCCTCCCGAAGGGACCAGAGTGCATGTACATTAGGCAGTCTAAAACAGAGTGCTGGGGGTGCAACTAGACCTTGGCACAACATTGCAGATATCTGCATGTGCAGTGTTTTAAGCAGAAAGGCTGCACATAGATATTGCTTGCTCCATGATCACTTCTAAAAACACAAGTGGTCATCCTTCGAAGAATTACATCCAGGGCCGTCTATAATATGATTAGGACCCTGGGGAATGCATTTTCTTGGGCCCCATGGGCCCTGTCCCTGCCACTGCGTCACCCCCCAATTACGTCCAACCTGCAATCACACTGACAGACGTACTGGCACATACACACACAGACAGACATTAAAACATTCACAGATACATACTGACACACACAGTCACTACACACAAATATATACTGGCAGACATACTGACACACACACAGACATACATACATACATACACAGACACATACATTAACAGATATACTGACACACACACAAACACATACACTGACAGATATACTAAAACTCACAGACACATACACTGACAGACACATTGACACACACACACAGGCATACTGACATACACAGACAGACGTAATGGCTGATACAGACAGACATTAAAACATTCACAGATATATACTGACACACACATACACTGACATACAAATATATACTGGCAGACATACTGACACACACACAGACATACATACATACATACACACACAGACACATACACTGACAGACATACTGACTGACACACACACACACAGACATACTGACATACACACAGACAGACGTACTGGCACATACACACAGACAGACATTAAAACATTCACAGATACATACTGACACACACATACACTGACACACAAATATATCCTGGCAGACATACTGACACACACGTACACACACACACAGAGACATACCCACATACACACACACAGACATACTGGCATACACACAGACATACTGACACACACACACACACACAGACATACTGGCATACACACACACAGACATACTGGCATACACACAGACATACTGACACACACACACACACACACTGACATACACACACAGACATACTGGCATACACACAGACATACTGACACACACACACACAGAGACATACTGGCATACACACAGACATACTGGCATACACACAGACATACTGACACACACACACACAGACATACTGGCATACACACACACACACACTGACACACACACACAGACATACTGGCATACACACAGACATACACACACAGAACTACTGACATACATTTTTCCACCCTCCAGGTTCTTACCTTTTCCTGGAGGGTGGTTTCCCTGGTCCAGTGGCAGGCTGAGGCAGATGGGAGTTCTCCTCTGGAACTCCCCTCCTCCCTGCCTTCCTCCTCCCGCGCGGCTATCTCCAGTGGGAGGAAGTGACGTCACTTCCTCCCAGCCGGCTGCAGAACCGGAAGAGGGGCCCGGTCGCGCTGTTTAAGCGCCACAGCGCCCGACCGGGCCCCTGCTGACACATGCTCCCCGGGTGGCCCTTAGTGCATGGGCCACCCAGGGAGCCTCCTCAGTGTGCGGAAGCCGCACTGCCCGGTCCACAGGGGCTGCGCAAATCGCGGGGCCCACAGAGCAGCTGCTCTGGGCCCCCAGGAGCAACTGGGCCCGGGGCAGCTGCCCCGTTTGCCCCGCGTTAAAGACGGCCCTGATTACATCAAATTTCTCCTTTAAGTAGTAAAGATTACTTTAGGTAAGTGCAGTTACAAGATTTTGCACATCAAGACAAAGGTAAAAAGAGACGGGTGTGACAAATGCTCCTTACCCTGGACGTTTGCCACGTACTCCTGGAGGAGTGTAGAAGCTGGCCTCCTGCCCACCGACTATGGGCCATATACATTGTGCCAAACTCACTATTTTCCCTTCTGTTCACAAGACATTTCCCTCCTGGTTCGTTTTATATAGTTTCCCGAACAGAAATACATTTATATTTTGTACAGAAAGACTAACAAATAGGTAGACAGGTATTAGCGCTTGTAAAAAAAGTGGAATAAAATAAATGTAGTATTACAAGGACAATATAAAATGATAGCAGCTAAACATTAATGTGAAACTTTTACAGATATCACCAACAAATAGTACAAATAGATAAAAAATTTAGCACTTTTTTAGAACAGAAGGTAATAACAAAATAATAATCACCTTTTAGAATAGTGATGTCGATACTTTAGGTAACACTTAGATAACACCATGGTAGTACAGAACCAAAAATGTATATGTATAAATGATATGTACCAGTATTGTAAACTCACAAACGGAGAGCTATAAACCTAGCTCTGGTGCAGATAGCATCCGGGTCCGTACAAGCGACCCACCCTTACAGGAAATATATGTCCTGTCATACGTGGAGTCCCTGTGGCTCTATAGTCGTTTGCTGTGCAGTTAGGGACTGCACTCCCTAGATGAATATGAAGATATAAACCGGGAACCAGGATATAAAAATTTAACAATTTATTAATATAAGGTAGAAATAAAAATGGCACAATGTCCAAATATTACCGGAATGCGTTTCACTACTTCAATGTAGCTTCCTCAGCTGGGTAAAATGTCTAATGTTTCCTGGTTCACCGTTGACTATTTATATATACCCTTAATTAGAGGATAGAATATTGGTGTTTCTCTTCCGCAGCGTAATTACCACACTCAGATAATACGTTTGCGGTTCACACCTCCATATGGTCTCACGTCAAAACAGTTGACGGACACTCTCACCTGGAGCTCCATCAATAAATATATTCCCAAGTCTTTAATCGGGTTTCATGTTCCTTTTTCCTGGGTAATTACCAATCTTCTCTTTAGATCGTAATGGTCTTTAATTAATTAATCCAGATGGAGTCTTTCATTAGGTAACTTTCAATCCGCTCGTCCTTTTGTTCTTCCATTACATTTTAGGGTAAAAGATCTTACGTTTTATATTCACGGGAATAGAAGCCGTATGTATACATTCCCAGGATGTGATGTTGTATGTAACATAAAAACGAACATAGAAAAAGAATCTCAATTTTAAATAGTAACAAATACCAATAAAAGATACAATCATGCATTTTTGTTATCTAGTTTTGAAACACAAATATAAGTAACATTGAACAGTTATGGTGATATGGTTAAAACTGATGATCAATCATCTTTAGGAAAGAGGCAATCTTAAAACTATATTTATATCAACTTATAAGAGAGGAACCATCCTAAAATGGTAAGTATCATGTACATCATGGGTCATCAACCTGGTCCCTACCGCCCACTAGTGGGCATTTCAGGATTCCAGGTGGGCGGTAGGGATTTCCTCATTTGGAGAGACTGGATGGGCGGGCGGGGGAGAGCCGGCGGTACCCCTGTGACCGGGTACCACCATCACCATCTGCGGCCCTGGCCCGGGCAGCAAACCGCCGGGGCCGCCTTCCAAGGGGTCCATCGGGTGGCCCATTCTGTCAAGGCCACCCGATGGATGTGGATTGTGAGGGGGCCTGGTCAGCGCTGGTCGCTTTAACAGCGCGACCGGGCCCCCTGTGATTACATCACAGAGCTGGGAGAAAGTGACTGCACGATACTCCTCCCAGCTAACACTGAGAGCCGTGCAGGAGGAAGACCAGGGAGTCAGAGTGGGAACTCTGACTCCCATCCACCTGAGCCACCAGTGGGCCCCAGGGAATGTCACCCTCCTGCACCTTAAAGGTAGGAAACAGGAGGGTGACTTAAATATAATGTGTGTGTTTGTGTGTGTGTGTCTTTGTATGTAAGTCTTGTGTGTGTGTGTGTGTGTGTGTCTTTGTATGTATGTCTTGTGTGTGTCTGTATGTGTGTGTATGTGTCTTTGTATGTATGTGTGCAGTGAGTACACATGACCCATGGGGCCCCGGTGCGAAAATTGATCCGTGGGCCCCCCCCCTCCCCGCGCGCTTACTTGGCGCGGGTCAGGGCCGCAACACATGGCGGCGGGCACCTGGTCGCAGGGGTTGCAGGGCTGCGACCCCGCGACCGCGGTATGCACACACACTTAAAGGACCACTATAGTGCCAGGAAAACAAACTCGTTTTCCTGGCACTATAGTGCCCTGAGGGTGCCCCCACCCTCAGGGACCCCCTCTCGCTGGGCTCTGGGGAGAGGAAGGGGTTAAAATCTTACCTTTCTCCAGCGCGGGCGGGGAGCTTTCCTCCTCCTCTCCTTCTTCCTAGCGGCGTCATCGGCTGAATGCGCATGCGCGGCAGGAGCCGCGCACGCATTCAGCCAGTCTCATAGGAAAGCATTTACAATGCTTTCCTATGGACGCTGGCGTCTTTTCACTGTGATTTTCACAGTGAGAAGCAGGCAAACGCCCTTAGCGGCTGTCAATGAGACAGCCACTAGAGGCTTTAGAGGCTGGATTAACCCTCAGTGTAAACATAGCAGTTTCTCTGAAACTGCTATGTTTATAAAAAAAAGGGTTAATCCTAGCTGGACCAGGCACCCAGACCACTTCATTAAGCTAACGTGGTCTGGGTGCCTATAGTGGTCCTTTAAAGGACCACTACAGACACCCAGATCACATCAGCTCAATGAAGTGGTCTGGGTGCAGGTCCCTCTAGTTTTAACCCTGCAGCTAAAAACATAGCAGTTTCAGAGAAACGGCTATGTTTCACTGAGGGTTAATCCAGCCTTTGGTGGCTGTCTCATTGACAGCCTCTAGAGGAGCTTCCACGATTCTCACTGTGAAAATCACAGTGAGAAGACACTGAACGTCCATAGGAAAGCATTGAGTAATGCTTTTCTATGGGCGGTTTAAATGCGCGCGCACCTTTTGCCGCACATGTGCATGCGGAGCTGAGATACAGAGGGATCCCCAGCGCCAAGGGAGTCCGGCGCTGGAGAAAGGTAAATGCTGAAGACACACACACACACTCTCACGAACAGACGCATACACACTAGCTAACAGACACACACATTTACTGAAAGACACACACTCAGTGACAGACATACATACACACTCACTTACAAAACATACACTTTCACTGACAAACACACACTCAATAACACACATCAAACACACTCAGTAACACACTCACTGACACTGACTAGCAGACACACACCCAATAACAGACACACTAACACACACACTAACACTAACACACACACAAACACACACACTAACACAAACACACACACACACACACACAAACACACACACACTAACACACACACAAACAAACACACACACACTAACACACACTAACACACACACACACACTAACACACACACACACTAACACACACACAAACACACACACTCTAACACACACACAAACACATTTTTTTTAAATTTAATCCCCCCAGCCTCCTTACCTTTTGGAGTACTGGGGGGATTCATCGGGGTCCAGTGGTGCTGCTGGGCTGGCTGTCTGTCTGGGTGACCGGCACGCAAGGGAGCACTCTCCCCTGAGTGCTTCCTCTTCAGCTCCCTCGTGCGCCGCGTAGGGATGCCGGAGCCGGAAGATGACGTCATCTTCCGGCTCCGGTATCAGTGCGGTGTGTGAGGGAGCTGAAGAGGAAGCACTCAGGGGAGAGTGCTCCCTCGCGCGCCCTCCCGCCTGCCTGCCGGGAGTCAGCAGGGCCAGCCTCGGGGGGCCCTGAGGTGGCCGGTTCCTGGGCCCCCCAGGAGAAGAGGCTGGCCCTGTGGGTACATACCAGGTCGCAGGAGTATGTACGCCACTGTATGTGTGTCTTATGTATGTGTTTTTGTATGTATGTCTTGTGTGTGTGTATGTGTGTCTTGTCTTTGTATGTATGTGTTGTGTGTGTATGTGTGTTTGTATGTATGTGTGTCTTATGTATGTGTCTGTATGTATGTGTGTCTGTGTGTATGTGTGTGTGTCTCTGTATGTATGTCTTATGTGTGTGTCTGTGTGTATGTGTGCATGTCTGTGTGTGTGTGTGTGTGTGTGTCTGTATGTGTGCCTGTATGTTTGTATGTATGTGTCGTGTGTATGTATGTGTGCCTGTCTGTGTGTCTGTATGTATGTGTGTGCCTGTCTGTTTGTATGTATGTGTCTTTGTATGTGTGCACGTGTGTCTTATGTGTGTGCCTGTCTGTTATAGTGGGCTATAGTAAGTGGGCTACCTAGCTCAGCCTTCTTACTGGGCATTGCTATAAGTAAGGTTAAAAAATAGAAAAAAGGGAAAAAAAAGGTGGGGAGGGGAATTTAGGAGGGAGAGGAGGGGAGCTGACGCACAGATGAGAAATCATATTATGCACAAACAGAGAAGTCGTCTAAATATCACCGAAAGAGGAGACCTTTGTTTGTTCCTTACGAAAATCGAACCAGATATCAAATATTTAGTCTCGCAGCATCAACCTCAAGGATCTCATTAATCACTAGTAAAGGTAATTTCAATTTATATGATTGTTTTCATATTAAACTTTATAAAGTTAAAAACATTATAAACATGCATTAAGTAGAAATAAAAAGATAAATGTACGTACATTTATTTTTTTTTAAACGCCCTCCTTTCTAAAAAATATTCTGCAGTTGCGCGAAAACTGGTGGGCAATAAGGAAATCTTTCCATCAAGAAAGATGAATTAGTGGGCGGTAGGTAGAAAAAGGTTGACTACCACTGATGTACATATAAAAAAGATAAAATACATATTTCTATATCAGCTTACAAAAAAAGGAAACTTAAATGCATATACCGTAACTGGCACATATTATCTTTTTTTAGGAAGCAAAATATTTTGTAACTCTAGTTCCTGGGAGATAATTAGTTTAAGCAAAGTACACTAAATTATCTCCCAGGCACAGAGACTCCTGGACGTGTTGTGGGAGTGTCCTGGGCGTGTTGTGGTAGTGGTTTCCTATGTTACTGCTGAAGACCCCCTGCTGGGGGTCTGTGTATATAAACTGGCCACTAAGCCATAATAAACCAGTCTTCTTGTAGCCTTCATCAAGTCTTGGCTGATGTTTGGGTAGCTCAGAGCTTTAATCACTGCTTCACTTGGGATTAGGTAGAACTACAGTGGATATACTTAGTCGGAGTATTGGGAAACCATTACATTGGTGGCAAGCGGCTGGATTTTTCTCACAGCAGTGTCCCTGTCTGAAGAGGAACTCGGGAGAATGGAGCGAGCTTGCCCCCAGGCAGCGTCCCCATATGAGGAGGAGTTCCAGTGGAGACTACAAGGAGCACTGGCCCAAGGATGGCCCTATTTCAGCCGAGGAGGACTGGAGAGAGGAGATACGGCGAGATCTCTGGCATGAGGCCCTGGAGGAGACTCAAGTTCCAGGGGGAGAGGACCTTCCCAGTTCAGAATGGCGCAGACAAAAGCAAGCAATGCTGAGGATGTCTTTACTGGAGTAGCTGCCCTGGGAAGAGTGGGTCATGGAACTCCAGTGTTTGATCAAGAAAGAACTGTGGCTGGATGAGGCATACTGGGCGCTACGGTGGTACTTGGTCCAAAGGTGCCCTTGAATGGCGGAGAATGAAAGACCAGAGGGGGATGACTACAATGGCCCTGGCCTGCTATGGGAGGCATAAGAGGAGGAAAGTGATTTCGGCAGCACAGAGGAGTCTCGGTATTGGGACATTCAGGAATACGGTATGGACGCACTGGAGCTATCTGATACTACAGGCCTGGGACCAGATATCACCTGTCAGGTCGCTATTGAATGGGAACTGGAGCAAGAATATCAGAACCTATGAGAGGAGATGATTGGTCCCTCTGCCCAGCGGCAATGTACTATGCAGGTAGAGGAGACAACTGGTCTCTCTCCCTAGCGGCAGCCAGAGTTACAGGTAGAGGAGATGATCTGTCCCTCTCCACAGCAGCAGCAAGCATCACTGGGAGTGGAGATAGTCGGTCTCACTACCTAGCACCAAACAGCGTCACAGTGAATGGAGACAGTCAGTCTCACTCCTCAGCGGCAGTGTACCAGGCAGGGAGAGGAGACAACCGGTCTCTCTCACCAGCAGCAGCCAGAGTTACAGGGAGAGAAGATGATCGGTCCCTCTCTCCAGCAGCAGCAAGCATCACTGGGTAATATAGCCAGTGGGAACAGGATCTTGCGGAGGTGTTGTAGAGTGACACATGGGAGGACATTTGGGAGACAGCCATTGGAGTTTTCATTTGTGTTATCTACCAAGAACAAATGCACAACATTTTATTTACATGGCACTCCCCTCCTGTACAACTCTTTCACATGGGTAAAACACCTTCTGATACCTGTTGGCAGCTATGTGGCCAATGTGTTACTTATCTGATCGTGCCTGGTGGTGGTGCAATTTTGGAAGATGGGGACCTATTGGCGTCTGTCTTCACCTTAGACCCTTGGCTATTTCTTCTTTGTTGCCCTCTGGGAGGTTTTTCAAGAAGAGCACAAAAACATTTTAGCAAAATATCATTGGCTGCTAGGAGTGCCTTGCCTGCATTGTGGTTTGGTAATTCTGTTCCAACCAATCAAGGAGGTTTGGGCCAAAATCCAAGACCATCATTTCATAAATCACTTGACCGCATTGGTTTAGAACACACTTCCATCATTCAAAAAAAATATGGACTTCATGGAGGAACTACACTTCCTCATTGCAGTTTGAGTGTACAGCTCTAATGCAACCTAGACACAGCAGTGGGTTTTCTCCCTTTATCTTTTGCGTAGCCCTATATTCTTCTCCTATCCTTGGATTTGTTACTCCTTTGATTAAACTAAATGTAGGAAACTGGTACTGTTTGAGTCATCTTGCAATCTGTACTGTCTACATTGCGTGATTCATACAGAATTTAAAAACAGAACTGGTCATGGAGGCTGAAGTAACCCTTTAAATTGAGTCTGTATTTCTTTTGTTTCTAAGCATCATTTTTTCTAAAGCCTGAGATGTGTTTTTCATTTCATTACAATGCTGGACACAAGTTACTGAAAAACATACAAAACCTGCGTCACCAGGGTTTTTTTTTTGTTTTTTTTAATGTTTGATTGTGGGCTTTTTTTTGCTGCCATTGCTTAAATAAATCAAGTTTTTTACTAACATAGGAAACTCAGAGTCCCAGACTCCCAAAAGTCAGGGAAGTCTGGAAATAAATGAATCTAATCATATAGAGAACAACACTGTGATCTGGCAATCTAATTATACAAACTACATGGATGCACAATAATGAGATAAGAGCTATCGTACAAATAAACGATTCACAGTAATTTGACTTTAAAAAATGTGCCAAGACTATGTTATTGTTTTACACAGCTGTGCAAGAACATGCTTATTATAAGCAGTGAAGAAAAGCAGTTCTTTCTAAAAAACTAAAAATTCTATCCATGAGCACATAAAGACTCTAGTGTTTGTAGAAAGGATGCAAAATTACCATAAAATCTGAAACGAATAATGATTGGTTATATCAATAAAAATATAATTCTGAATATAAAATGTTGCCACCGTGTAATGTATACCACCAGAGAATTATACTATTTGCAGGTGACAAATGTAAGGGCTATCTACTCACCTTCAGCTCCTCATTCCTTGGTGAGCACAAAATACGAGTCTATTGAAGATTTTTACAACATCATGAGATGTTCCATAGATCGTATACATGTATACATGTGCAAAGAGATGCCACATGTTTCTGCCTGATGCTGGATGAGAAGATTCATCTATGAAGGCTGACAGGAAAAGGTTAAGGCAAGGCATCATGAAATTAATTCATATTCTGGTTTTGCCGTATTTTGCAATGCCCAATGCTTACATTCACTAAAATAAGAATTCAAAGTAAATGATATCAAGTTAAAGGACCACTAAAGGCACTTCATCTCAATCTATTCGAAAGCAATGGATTGGCTGAGATCGTCAATCTTGATGAGAATTTGGGGAAGATATGAGGGGCTGGGAAATATTGGGGAAGGATATGGAGTGCTGGGAGAATTGGGGGAAGATATGAAAGGCTAGGATAATTAGAGAAAGATATGAGGGGGTGGGAGATATGGAAAGAATGAGGGGTAGGAGATATTGGTGCCCCTATCTCTCCTACTACAGCATCTATCACCTCACATGCAGTCCTTATACCCTACTACAGCCCCTAATACACCCTATACCCCCACTAGAGCCCATATTCCCTGACTACAGTCCATACCCCACATCCCCCAATTGCAGCCATACACTACTTACAGTCCCTAAGCCCCTACTACGACACCTATCCTGCACTACATTTTCTCACGCCCTGCTGACAGCTGATAACAAGTGACTGGAGAAGTAAGTACTAGAGGCGAAATTGCTCAACTATGTATTTTTTGCAAACACCGCAACATCATCAACAGAACTTTTATAAAAGTTTTAGCACCCAAGTCTATTTCCTTAACTTTCAAACTTCCTCAAAATGCATGGTCTCCATATGTAATCGATTTCTCAACAGGTTTTCATTTTATCTCTGAGCTCAGTTTGCTGCTTGTTAAAACTGTGCCTTTAAATCACTGTGTTGTTCCACATGTAGATGATTGTAGGGTGTATTCACAGACATCCTACACTGAAAGTGAATTTAGAAGCATGTTCCAAAAAGGTCTCAGTGAGTCTTTATTTCAGTACAAGGGCCCCTTAGTATACAGCGGCCTCAGGAAAAAAAAAATACTCCTTGCATAGGGCTGCTGTTTCCGCCAGTGGGATTTGGAGCAAACATCAGTAATGTAAACATAAAGGGAATGCAGCCCCTGGCTGCTCTGTGTTAGGGTAAATGAGACCCAGATGATGTGAGCCTCATAACAGGACACTCCAGAGTTGGGAGTTGCAAGATGTACTGCTGTTTCTTACACAGCCCCAGGACATTTAAACTAATAATGTGAGACAGTAGCTAGGCGTAGCCACATCAACTTGTGCAAGACATTGAGATGCTCTGTACAGTGCAGTAAGTGGTGACTCTCACAGGTAAGTGGGCAGGTATCTGACTCATTCAGTGTGTAGGGTTATCTTGCATGCCTTTAGAGTTAGGTCATGAAACCAAGATTAAAATCAGATTTCAAGTGGACACTGGTAATAACTGTTCTTGTGCATAAAAGTATCTTCTGGATGTTTGCATTCACATACAGGTTTATTCACTAAGGTGAGAATTCAAAGTGAATTTCAAATTTAAGATCAAAATAGCTGAACTAGAAAATCCTGCCTTAAATTTGAATTCTTACATTAGTAATTAAAATCAATAGTCTTGAAGGTCTTTCAGTCTGTGAGGTTTATTCGCTAAACAATTAATTCTGCTGAGTGTGAAACTGAAATGTAAAAACTAGGCGAACACAGCCATGTTGGAATAAAACAGCTGAAACAAAATTCTTAAATGTTATTTTTAAAAAAAAATGTAATGTTGCATTTCTGTCTACAGTGCCACAGTTTGTTTAGTGAATAAAATAAATGGTAGGTGTCATGTATCTGCTGATACACAGCTGTATATAGTAACTTTTATCGCTGCCTCAGAACTGTGATAAGACATATGTTTGTACTGTACTCATAAATTATATAATATTCAAATAGAACTTTAAGATCCCAAATAGAAAAAGATGAGGAATTGTATTCACTTAAAAAGTGTCAGATCCGAACAGTAGCTTACCAGTAGATATGGTAGAGGCTTTTTAGAAAGGAAATTAGCAGACCATAGCATCTTTCTAGTGTTTCTGTGCATAAACAACCTGTGATATATATAAAATTACATTTTTGGTACTTTATTGTATAGGAGGTTACACAGGATGCACATTTGTCCTTTGTTTATCTTTTTATTGCTATGTTCTCACTAGCCTTATGTGAACTGGTCAATAACTTGTGATCTGACTGCAGATATTTGTAACTCTTTGCCTTGTGATTAAACGTTATCATTGTGTCAGTTATGCGCTATCCTTGGCTCTCATCTCATTTCCCAGCTATAGATATATGCTATCTGCTTCTAATCAGATGTCTGATTGTTTCTTATAATCTTTGCAGCCCTGCCCAGAGTGTCATGTGCTCTCAAAGAGAGAAGTGAAAACTGACAACTTGACACAAAACTCAGGGAGTCTTCTTTCGCAAACAATCCTGCGGTAAGAATGCATGTTCAACGATTTACTAAAATTAATTTTATATGTCTAACTGTGCACTCCTGCTATAGATACAAGTACAATAAATACAATGTTAGGTGTTCTAACACAATTATTTGGCCATTTACAATTTCGTGGTTAATGTCGAATATTTAATATCTGTGCTATCCTAAAACCGTTTTAATAAGTTTTATATGCATTTTATAATTATTATTATTGGTATTTATATAGTGCCAACTTATTCCGTAGAGCTTTACAATATTAAAAAAAGGGTGAAATGATTTAACAATAAATGAGACAATTACAAAAATTCCAGTAATCTGTTGATGCTGTCAGTTCTGTGTCTGTATTAATAATAATAATAATAATAATAATAATAATAATAGCTGTATGTATGGGTATTCGTAGTGCTGGCTGGTTTATTTTTACTTGTGTTTGTGTGGCTGTCGGTGTGCCAGAACTTTATTATTGTTAAAGCATCCCCTTCCCCCTGTAGCCTGCATGGGCTCCACACCTCCAGGATGCTTTGGGCTGCAAATGGGAAACATCTGGGTAGCGGCTGCCCGAGCCGGGCTCTGATTGGCTGAAAAAAAGAAAAAAAAAAAAGAAAGGGAGGGCCAGGGCTGGCGCTTTAACTCGTGACGTCACGAGGCCGAGGCCGTTCTGTGCTGCGGGTACCTGAGGGCACCCAGAGCTGGAGCAGCAACCGGGGCAGGAGGGACCAGGCGGGGGATCAGCACAAGGTGAGAGCCCGGGGATCGGGCCTGGTGGGTGACTGTGTGTAATAGGGTGACAATGACACTCGGTGCACTCAGGTTTTCTTGTAAGGAGCCCAGGCTGTCTGGCAGACACTGCACTAGACATGGGCAGTGAGTGTTTTGGGGGAGAGAGACTGTGTGTGCTGGGGGTGTGGTTATGGTAGGTAGAGAGGGGGAGGAGGGGGGCCTATTGTGTGTAAAAGACATGTGGACATGCTTAATATCAATAATGTAACATGTAGTGCGTACCTAGACCATGTATACCTCAGGTCAGTGATGGCAAACCTTGCCAGCCCAAATAATAATGATCTGTATGTATCTGGAAGCTCAGGAAGCCTATAGGTTAGCTGGGCATTTTGGGAAATGTAGTTTTCTGGTGTTTTGTTGCCAAGGATGGCCATTTCTGCTCCAGGTCCCTACCTTGTCCCTGACTCATCATTTCAGATTTTGCCACTGTCCTTAGGTGCATAGGATATTGTCAGAACAGATCCACTGTCATACATTGTGCCCTGTTTATGGCATCATATCAGTGTAATAGGGTCTAGACCTAGGGTGTTTTACTAAATCCAGATTATATATCTGCAATACACAATCTGAATTCAATTTTTAAAGAAGGACTGGATGGCATGTTACCTGTGTCTCTCTTTTAGATCCAGGTCGAAGCAAAACTGTTTTTATATTCATAGCTAGATTGTAACATAAATGTTAAATTTGAATGCACTGGGTATTTACTATTATTTTAACCTACAAGCAGAGTTTCTAACCCACATGAAACCTGTCTTCTTTCCATAATCCAGCCAAAATTCTTTAAATTCCAGCTACAGTAGGGAATAAGAGTGAAAATTCTGCTCTGAATATTGGTGTAATTCTTTTATTTAAATATTTCTAAAATGTTAAAGCCACTTTAGTACAATTGACTTATATGTTTGTAGAATGTTGAAAAACCAACCTCGAAAAATCTGTCTGCTGTGTATATTTCATGAAATATTTTTTT